TTCCTTTCAATTTTTCTCTCCAAAAACTCAATATTATTAGGATAAAATTTCTCCGCTTTTCTTTTTTTTTTTTCTCTCATGCTTGGATTGTTGGACACAAAGATATTTGGATTGAAATCTTGCAACTCTTAATCCGATTGTAAGTTTTTCAATTCTATTTTATTATTGTTGATTGGTTTTATGTTCTTAATTCCGGTTAACATGAAATTGAATCTAAGCATGAGGTAAACCATTCACCTAGGGTTAGGGATTTTGATTCTTGTTTTGAATTATGAGGAATGTGTTTTGTTCAATCTATACGAGTTGTGTGAATTATATGGTTAGTTGATTGATCACCATTCTAACCTAGTTAATCGACGTTTAGAACCGAGAGGGGAGACGTCGGTCGATTTAGGCTCGTATAGAGTAGACATGTTCGTAAAAGTATTGTCTATGTGTTGCTTGTTTGAATGAATTTATCGTTTATGTTTGTGCTCTTGTTACGAAGAGTTATTGAGCATAGCCCTCTAGACGTGTAGGCTTGTTTAATCTCGTAACCAAACAAATAAGTGTTCAACATAGTTTAAGACTTGATGAGATTTCCCGACCCCTAGACCTTCTTCTTTTTCTCTAGAAATTTAATTGTTATTTCTTTAAATTGTTTTTCTAGTTCTAGATTGTTTTAGTTAATTCCCCAAATCAATCGTGATTAGAGTGTTTAGTACTTATTTTCTTTTCGTGTGTGATCAAGACCAACGCTAAATTCCGAACCGTCTTCCTCGAGAGATCGACCCGGGGAACGAATCTTTTGATTCGGTACTCGGTAAGAACATAAAATAATTTGCTACAACACCTTCCAACTGCCCTAAGTGGAAGCGAAAGTTCGTTTATGTCGAGCTCGACACTCCTTTACGTTGGGCGCCCACTCCTTGGCTCAAGGAACTCCCCTTCGAGCTCAAAAATCCTGCTCACGAACCTCTTTTCGAGCAGCGCATTGCTGTTTGGAATTCTAAACCAGTCGTCTCTAAAATCCTCCTCGAAAATGATAACCTTCTACATTTTTGTGGTCTTCTCACCCACAAATCTCTATCTCCTCCCACCGAAGAAGTCCTCGACTCTATGCAAGTGGAGGACGATCCAGGTAATTCTTGTATAATGTGCTCGAATATTGTTGTGTTCATCTTTGGACATAAACGGTTTATTATGGTATTAACTTGCTTTTGTGATTCCCTTGCAGAGATGCCTGCGGTCCTGGTTCTTAAGAGGAAAGTTCCTCTGAAGAAGAAGTTTGCTCAAGCCTCTGGCTCTCGTCCGTCTAACTTGACCACGTCGCAGCCCGATCACCCGACCACGCCACAACCCGACCATTCGACCTCCTCCCTGGAGTTCGAACCTCGCACCGCGCCCGTTCAAGAGCCGGTTATCGAGGAATAGTCTTTACCTTCCTCGATCGACTTCCCAATCGAGGAGCACTCCTGGTCGCTCCCCCCGGAACATCCGCAACCGACCTCTCCACTTGCTGGCTCGAGCATTCCTGTGGTCGAAATACCTGCCTCCCCGAACCCCCATCTAGTCGAGTAGGCTCAACTCAAGCGTCCTCTAGCCGAGGGAACTGAGGGGACCAACAAGCGTCCCCGCCTCAAGGAAACTGTCGATGTCTCCATTTCTACGCCCCCGTCACTGGTCAAGGTCGGGCAGGAGGAGCTAGTGTCTTACCTTCGAGACATTGTCCCTGCTGCCGATCTCAACGACGGCAGCTCGGATTTGCGAACTCGTAGGTATCTCCTTGCACAATGGTTGGCGCTGGTAACTTTCAAATTTTCCCTTTTATTTTTCCTTTTTTATTACTTCTGCCCATTCCCGCGTATTAATTCTTTTTCTTTACGGCAAGTGCAGGGGCTTGTCGAGCTCATTCCCTTGATCGATCAGACTGTGACCAGCGCGGGTCACTCGATCACCAAGGTCGAGGAGGGGGTCTGCATCCTTCAGGAGAAAGTTAACCAACTCGTCCACCGGCGCCACGAACTTCGTGAGCTGCTGAAGGATGAAAAATTAAAGGCGAAGGTCCTCGAGGGAGAGAAGCAAACCCTCGAGGAGGACAAGAAAGCTCTGAAGGTTGCGCTTGAGGCGGAAAAGGCTGCTCGAGCACAAGAGAAGGAGACTCTCGAGCAAGAAAAAAAACGCCTGACTGATCTCGCTGCTATATGATATGAGATAAAAATTACTGTAATATAACACATGTAAGTCGCACAAACAAGTGTCATTCTGAAATATGTAATAAGGGAATGTTTCCAATGCATCCACTTATTTAAATTGAGGACGTAAGACTCATTTTTAGCCACAAGATTTGGTACATATCATGTATGGCCAAGATTTACTCTTTTCTTTTTATTATTTTAATTATTTAAATATTATTTTGACCCCTTGACTCTGGCGTTGACCGTTGACTTCCGGTGTTAACTTTCGGCGAAATCCGTTGACTTCTAGCGTTGTCCGTTGACAACTAACCTTCTAACTAGGTTAGTTCTCTGTAGTTGCTAGGTTACTTCTCTCTAGTTGCTGGATTAGTTCTCTGTAGTTGCTAGGTTAGTTCTCTGTAGTTGTTAGGTTAGTAGTTGCTAGGTCAGTTCTCTGTAGTTACTAGGTTAGTTGTCTTTTGTTGCTAGGTTATTTCTTTCTTGCTGCTAAGTTAGCTGTCTATTGTTGCTAGGTTAGTTATCTTTAGCTGCTAGGTTAGTTGTGTTTTGTTGTTAGGTTAGTTGTCTGTTGTTGCTAGGTTAGTTATTTGTAGCTACTAGGTTAGTTGAGTTTTGTTGCTAGGTTAGTTGTCTTAAGTTGCTAGGTTATTTTTTTCTTGTTGCTAGGTTAGTTGTCTTTTGTTGGTAGGTTAGTTGTCTTTTGTTGCTAGGTTAGTTCTTTCTTGTTTCTAGGTTAGTTGTCTGATGCTGCTAGGTTAGTTGTCTTTTGTTGCTAGGTTATTTCTTTTTTGCTGCTAGGTTAGTTGTCTTTTGTTGCTAGGTTAGTTGTCTGTTGTTGCTAGGTTAGTTGTGTTTTGTTGTTAGGTTAGTTGTCTGTTGTTGCTAGGTTATTTATTTCTTTCTGCTAGGTTAGTTGAGTTTNGGCGGGGGATTGGGCTGGATCCCCAACCTGTGCATAGATCAAGACCCCAAAACGGGGGCCCACAATATCAACAGTCTACAAGGTCTCACAAGCAAAACAAATAAAAAGAAAATACAAAGTCTGTCTACGGGCTAACAGGTGCCCGAAAATAAAAATGAAAATCTAATCAAATGAAAACAAAAAAAAAAAAACAAAAAAACCTAATCTACTGAAAGCGGAAAGATGGATATCCAAGCTGGTCCATCCGTACAAGCGTGCGAAGGCGGAGTGGAGCAGTGTCGGTTTGGAACGTATGTGTATCGGGTATGGTGGCGCCAAGGGTGGCAAGGTAGTCAGCAGGTCTGTTCCCCTCACGGAAAATGTGCGTGATTCTGTGATGGACAGACCGAAGTAGAGCTCTAATGCGCATAAGCGGGTGCTAAATCTGCCACGAGCCCTGATGGCCCGAAGTCAGGAGGGTGGCGACAGCCGCAGCATCCAGCTCGATCCATATATGACTAGAGAGGTGGATAGCAATCTGAAGGCCAATTTGTAATGCCTGAATCTCTGCGTGAGGAGGCCTGAAGGGGCGCGTGGAAGGCGGTGATGATGGCGCCGCTATGGTCCCGGATCAGGCCAATCTGTAGCTGCTAGGTTAGTTGTATTTTGTTGCTAGGTTATTTCTTTCTTGCTGCTAGGTTAGTTGTCTGTGCTGCTAGGTTAGTTTTATTTTATTGCTAGGATATTTCTTAGGTTAGTTGTCTGATGCTGCTAGGTTAGTTTTATTTTGTTGCTAGGATATTTCTTTCTTGCTGCTAGGTTAGTTGTCTTTTGTTGCTAGGTTTTTTTTTTTAAAAAAAAAATTGTAACCCATAGGATTTGAACCTGATACCTCATGGAAGCAAGACAAGCAATGCAACCACTACACCACTCAAGGTTGAGTGTCTTTTGTTGCTAGGTTATTTATTTCTTGCTGCTAGGTTATTTGTCAACGGTCAACGCCGGAAGTCAACGATTTTCACCGGTAGTCAACGCCGGAAGTCAACGGTCAACGCCGAAGTCAACTAATAATTATTTTATTATTTAATTAATGTATATTTTAATTGAATTTGATCTAGACAAAATGAGTGGCTAAGATTGAGTCTCACGTACTCGTTTTATGGAGTGGTCTCATTGGATCCGTCTCCTATATAATAATATATATTTTTTGTAAAAAAGTAAATAAAATTTAAAATAATTTTTCTTATTAATTTTAAAATTTAAGAATAATTTTTCAACAAACACCCGTGTAATACACGGGTATTGTACTAGTGTTTATTTATTTTAAAGTTTATCGTTTAGACAAAAAAAAATTATTAACACATCTTTAAAATAAAATCCATTATTGACATATATATGTCTATTAAAATTTATTTTTCATTGTAATTAAATCAATAAAGTAGTAGTTAGGCATATAACATAATTCTACAATCACATTATTTTAAAAGATATCCATAATTTTAAATTAATGTATATTATAATTCAAAAAAATGATATAGATAGAAGAATTATAATATAAATATAAAAAATATGATATATCAACCCAAAGTAATATTAAACCGAGATTCACAATAATGTATTCAGATTATACTTTTCATTCATAAATCACAATTTGAAAATATTGGCACAAAAGTGAGTGACGTATCAAAAAAAAAAATTAGATGGTGATAATTAAAGGCAGATTATAGGCGTGGACCGACTTAAGAGGACACGCCTACACCACTAGATCTCGCCACGTGTACGGCCGATCCATCGTCTTCTACACCATCACTCCACTATAAATCTACGCGTTGAGCTCACTCCCCAAAACCACACATTCATCTGAAAAATATCAGTAAATACAGCAAAAATCAATTCCATTCTCAGCTCAAAATTAACCAAAGATGTCTTGCTGTGGAGGAAACTGCGGCTGTGGCTCTAACTGCGGCTGTGGCAACGGCTGCGGAGGGTAAATCTTTTGAATTTTTGTTTGAAGTTTTGCTTGATTGTTTTTNTTCCATTTGTTCTTCTCACAAATAACTTCGATTTTGGAATCTATTGATTTCTTCGGAGCTTCATATCGCTGATATAATTATGAAAAGTAATAATAATAGTTTTTAGAATATTGTTGGATTTTTTATTTGGATTTGTCTCCGTTTATTCTTCTATCAAATACCTTTTGCCCTCGATGTTTCGTCAATTTTTGGCCGATTGATCTTTGTCGGAACTTCACATGGAATGATTTTATTACGAGAAAGTACTAATCTGTTGTTTCTTTTGAATTCTTTGTTTTATTTATTTTTTTTATGCAAATACCCTTTGCCGTCTGCTTTTTCCTCAATTTGGGGACTGATTGATCTTGTTGGAGCTTCATATAGCCGAATCATGAAAAAATGGCGATAGGTGAAGATAATCGATTATCGATGTGTTCTGATTTGAAATTATATGTATATATATTTTTTGCAGGTGCAAGATGTACCCAGACTTGAGTTACTCGGAGGCTGCCGCCCCTACGGTGGCCACCGTGCTGGGCGTCGCCCCTAAAATGACGTATGTGTTTTCTTTGCATTTTTTTTTTTTTGAAATTTTGGTTGATTTTTTATATTTTTCATTCAAACCTGGGTCGGATCTCTTAACTGATTGAATTAGCTGGTTATGCAATTTTTTATTTGTAATCAGTTGGTTGAAAAATAAAATCTAATTAATTTTTACTATCCTCAATTAAAAAAAATCTTTTATTTAACCGCTGATAATTTTGCTCTTTTATCGCTTGATTTGCAGATATGCTGATGGAGGGGAGTCCATGGAGTCGGGGGCAGATAACGGCTGCAAGTGCGGCGACAACTGCACCTGCAACCCGTGCAACTGTAAGTGAAAGGGCCCGGAAGGCCAGGCCCAATAATAGCTGGGCCTTGAAGCAGAGATGAGGAAGAAAGTTAATTATTAGTGTTGTGTCTAATGTTGTTTTAACTTTTGATCGAGTCTGTGTGTGCATTAAAGGCCAAAATATGTCCTCACTTATGTTGGTGATGGTGTTGTGTCCTTAAGTAATAAAAGCAACCATAGGGTGTTATAATGTGGTGGCTTTTGGAGTCTGTTTTTTTTATGCGTGTAAAAATAGGTTTGTTGTTAATGGTACCATCTCTGCTGTTGATTAATATTGTGTAAGGGGAGAGTTGGGTTTGTGGATTAAGATTAATGGATACTTATTTCTCTCCCTGTATTTTGTGCATTTGTTCAAATTTTAAACTTTTTTGTTCAAATTTTAAACTTCTTTTTTATTTTATTTTTTAAATTATTGTTGTGGCTATCTTAGGCCCAACGCTGCGCCAGATTATGTATTTCGCTAGAGTAGTGCGGCAAATTTCTCTCCAATATTACGCCAGATGTTTGCGCCAGAACAGATATATCAACAGTGCATCGTTGATGCACTGTACACGGCGCTAGACTTTTTTTTTTCTTTTTTTTTAATATATTATTGATAAATATTTATATAATATGTATTAATAAATAAATTTATTATGTTAAATAATTTGGTGATTGTATTTATAGATGTATTTTAATTTTATTTTATAAATTTAGTAGTACATATGAATAAAAATTTACTACATTTATGTTTCAACTTAATACACATTTTCATTTAACAAATTTATTTATAACAGAAAAATACGTGGTATAACATTAAAATGGTACCATTTTGTGCTTTTTATTTGTTGATGTATTATAATTTTATTTTGTAATTTTTTAATATTAAAATGGTGTTATATGAATAAAAATTTAACACATTCAAACAAGTAGATTTCATTAAAATTAAAAGTTTACACCAAACGTAAATAAAAAAATACACAAATAAAAACAACATAATAGTAATTATAAAATTTTTATAAAATTAAATATATATATATATATGTATACCAATCCATTCAAAATAAAAATAAATAAAATACATTTTTATTATTGGGTAATAAATATTTATATAATATTAAATATACATATATATACCAATTTATTTGAAATAAATAAAAATAATATATTTGATGTAGAGTAAAACGTAGAGATGAGGGCTGAAGATGAATGTTTATTGTAATTACGTTACATATTATGGGAGGATGGAGATGATTTAAGTGTGTGAGGTCGGACATCCTTGTTTGACATTTATTGAATTTATTGTGCTTTATTTTACATTTTATGTAAGGGATCAACTCAACTTGTTCGAGTCATTTCATATTACGTAATTCAATTTTGTAATTCAAAATTTAATTCTCTCTCCTACTTTTTGTAAATATTATTAACTAATATCACTTAATTTTTCTCACACATCACAATCGTTAATTCACTATTCACCCACTCGTATATTTTTAATTAAGTCTGGTGTCACTTCGATAATTGAACCGACATGTTCTTACGGATAACAAGTTGAATTTGGCACCACCTACAAGGCTCCCAAGGTAAAAAAATCATACACATTCATAAAAGCAGAAGTACATAACATTCATCCACAACAACAAGGAAGGGGGTGCACTGGATGGATCCGATGACAATGAAGGAAGGAGGCACACTGATGATTTGAGATGCTGATGAAGGTGAAGGAAGGAGACGCAGTGTAAGGAGGCAATGGCGAAGGAGGCATTTTGAGTCTTTGAGAAGCCGTGAAGGAGATGATTTCACTATTTCTCATCAATTTGGGGCAATACAGTACTAGCTAGGGCAGTAGGGCTTGACTTTATCTAGTTTTTCTGTGGAGTCATCGGATGACACGACTTATGAAGTCATCCACACTTATTCACAATAGTGTATTGACATGTGTCATACAATAGATACACATTGAACATGCGTCAATAAATTAAGTGAAAGATGACTCTACAAAAAAACCATCTGATTATGTGACTTTATCACTTAATTTGGTTTTCACTTTTTTTTTTTTTTATTATTATTTAGTGACTAAACAACAAAATAATTGGGCACTCCGCACTTTAGTGACTAAACAGCTAAATTGAATAAGCCCTCCTATGTTATTTTTTATTTATTCTTTTTATAATCCTTATGGGTTCGAAATTAATACCGATATGATAGTAATTCAGTAACTGATGCTCCCAAGCTTATTATTATACCGATTGATCTATCGTTTTTCTTGACTGAAATACATCGACCATGCTTTCTAACCAACCATGCCCAATTCTTCTAATGAACAGCAAGGAGGAATTTGCCTCTCCCGTTGGTCGAGATTCTTTAAACCTCTCCTTTCAGTCCAGCATATTGAAACCTCTCCTTAACGTCGATCTTAAACCACTCCTTGACGTCGAGCTTAAACCTCTCCGTTTAGGTGGACCTTCTTCCTTATTTTGCCCCAAAATTCGTCTGTGCAATGACTCCTAGTAGTTAATGGGGATTGTCTGCTTTCTTGGCCTAGTCTGTTAATGGAGGAGACTGGTCATACCTACACAACAACACGAGTCGGTAGGTTCATTTTATTTTTTCATCTATTCGGTACAGTTCAATTTTTGGATTTTTTTTTTTTAAATATCAATGATAATTTCAACTACCTTTCATATCTTATAATATTTCTCATGCTTTTACACCATATCAACTTTAATCGTTATATTTTAAATAATTGTTTATTTTCAAATTACCTTATTCAAAATAATTTATTTTAACTCACTTTACTCGTCAAGTTGGATCATAAACAGTTTAGTTCATATCCAATTGCCCCTAATTCTTATGTTGTGTTCCGTGAAATTATTGGTTGTATGAGTTGAGAGGAAAAGGAAATAGTTTGGAAAACTTTTAACCCAAACATGAGCTCAAAAGCTCGGGTATATTTTTGTATCTTACAGTTTACACACAGTATTTGTTTCAACAAATATGTATACTTTTAAATTGAAATGTATAAATACTAATAATAATAATAATAATAATAATAATAATAATAATTAATAATAATAATAATAATTATTATTATTATTATTATTATTATTATTAGAACCGGGAGAAGAGGGTGCGGTTCCACCAGATGAAGCGCATCACAAGAGGGTGAGTAGCCCACTAGGCTTATAAATTAAGCATATTTTCTCTGTATAGACGATGTGGGACAACTCACAAGTGTATATAAGTATATTCTAACACGTCCCCTCACTTGTGAGTCCTTCGTATGAGGCCCAAGCCCAACTGGGCTGGGTGACGGGTACGCCATTGCACGGTTCCACGTAGGCCCAAGCCCAACTGGTCTAGGTGAACCGACTCTGATACCATATTAGAATCGGGGGAAGAGGGTGTTGTTCTAACAGATGAAGTACACCATAAGAGGAACCGTAGGCCCAAGCCCAACTGGGCTAGGTGAACCGACTCTGATACCATATTAGAATCGGGGGAAGAGGGTGTTGTTCTAACAGATGAAGCACACCATAAGAGGGTGAGCCTAGGTGCACCTTAGTGAGGTTCCATCTCAAAACCAATTGGTGGTAGGAGGAGTAGCCCACTAGACTTATAAGTTAGGCATATTTTTTCTGTATAGACGATGTGGGACAACTCACAAGTGTATATTCTAACAACAACAATTATAATAATAATAACCAACATAAACAAAATCCACAATGATTTAGGTTGATTTATACAAAAATTAATGTAATTGTAATACGCATGTCCACTCGAGTTGCATGTGTAGTTTATATAATTAACGAGTTCAGCTCAATTTTAGGATTAGAAAACGAGGGCTTATATTGAATATGTTGAACCCTAAGTTAACTCCCCTTGTTAAAACTCAATTTGATTAGTTAAATTTTTTAACATACAAATCAAACTTAAATTTTTACAATAGCTCATTCAATAAAAAAGTCGAGCTTGAGTTTGCTAAAGACTTGATGATTCAATATTCGAACTCAATCTGTTTAATCAATAATTCAAAAATCAAAATTGTGATCCTCGAAACATTTTTCTCCTCGACCAAAATAATCCCCCATTCTTGACCTAGCTCTCGCACGCCTGGTTTGCTTCCTCTCCAGCGGGGCGTACCCCGCGACATCGTTCGTCTCTTGGGTGGTCTTGGTAAGGCAATGCTCTTTCTTGTGGGCTATCGATTTTTCTCTCCTTCTACGCGTGAATTTCACCTGTTGTAGGTGCCATGGCAGTCGGTGGGTTGGAGGCGGATTGTTTGTCATGCATTGAGTATTGTCTGGCCTCGACATTGCTTTGCAGTTTTTGGGTTTGAGGTTGATGCCTCGGTCTCGCCTGATCTGGCTATCCCTGGTGTTGGGATAGCAGGTCCTTCCAACGGGGGCAACTTTTCAGGTTGCGGCTGTCGAATTTCATGGTGGGGGAGGGCGGTGGAGCGGGTCTCCTAGGGCTGCTGTGGTGTTCAACTTTGGGTTGGTTTTGGGTCTGTCGGCTCAGGTTGAGTTAGCCGTAGGTGGGTTACTCGATTTTGTCTTGGGCTGTGGGATGTGTAACTGTCCCTTTTGTTGATTGATTGCCTTGGGGTTGGTTCGAGTGGTGGCGGTTTGAGGTGTCTTCCTGCTGGTGATGAGGGCTTTAGTCTAGTATCGTGTGTGTTTAGTTTTGTTTGTTTGTGTTTGTGCTGGTGTTCTATTCTCCCGTTTGGGAATTAATATTCTCCACTAATGAAAGTTTAGTATTCTACTTTTATAGCTTTTTAGTCTTGTGGGTTCATTTAGTGTAGATTGTGTAGTAGTTTTTGGGCTATAGTCGTTCCGACTTGTACGTCTTTCTCTGTATTCAACTGTTGGCTGCTTTAGTATGCTACTTAACCGCTTGTAAATATGTGTTTTATTAATGAATTCTGATGTTTCTACCAAAAAATAAAAATAAAAATAAAAATAAAAAATCAACATGTTTACAACACTTTATTGAGCCAGGGATCACCTAAAGTGATCCCAAAGCATTTCTTGATTTTGGGCTAAAGCCAGTTATATGAAAACAACATTCTTACTTTTATTTTAATTTTGCTTATAAATAAATTGACTCATTAGCCTCTTAAGCATTTCTCACAATAGTGAAAAAACACTCCATTAAGAAGACTAATTACGCCACCAAAGATAGAACAAGAAACAATAACAACAACAACACAACAACAACAACAATAATAAACATGAAACAAATACTTAAACAAGTACAACTAAGCTAAATAATAGAATGACCCATTCTCCCTCCACACTCGACTTCAAGAAGTCGATGACATCCTTTAACAACAATAATAAACATGAAACAAATACTCAAACAAGTACAACTAAGCTAAATAATAGAATGACCCATTCTCCCTCCACACTCGACTTCAAGAAGTCGATGACATCCTTTAATCTCCCGGTAGTTTACATCTTCAATAAGATTGACATCCTTTACTCTCACGATATAAGGTAGTTGTTTACATCTTCAATAAGATCAAGAACACACTGCACATTAAAAAAAAAAAAAATGCACTGAGAGTCAAACCACTCATAGACGAAAAATCGTTGTATACCAAAAATTCTCAAACCTCTCAATGTCAAATAACTTATAGCCACAAAACCATTCGATACTAAAAACTCTCAAACCTTCATACTTCGAAGTTGGAACCACTTAATGACTACACACATTTGACAATCTCCATAGTAAATTCACTCCTTTCTCATTTTATCATTAATTCATCCCTTAATTTTTGTTTCCTTCTATATTATCGTAAGATTAGGTTTTATCCTCGTAACTTAGGGCATGTTTGGATACAAATATATTCGCTCAATTTTTTTTTGTTAATCATGATTAATTATTAAAAAATTGGTATAATTAGTTATTTGTGTAACTTTTAGTTTATATTAAAATAATATTTAAAATAAAGCAACTAAAGTTGATTTGATATAAAAATATGAGAGAGATTATATGAAGTGATGATTAATTAAAATCATATGAGTGGATAAATAGTGATTAAAATTTATTTGATCTTTAAAAAACGGTTAATTGATATTATTTGATTATATTGATAATAGTGATGTTGAATTAGAGTTAAATTAAATTTTGAGTATAATCTCCCTTATATATAATTTTAAAACGCGATGAGCCTAAGTTGCAACTTCGCACGCTTCGTAGTCTTATATGGCAAAATATTATGCTATGTAATATGACTTAGATAAATATGACTAATTTTTTTATAACAAATAACTTAGGTTCAGATTATCATATATATACACATATTTGAATATATTTAAATCATTCCATATAAATATATTTATTATGTTCTTTCTATAATGTGCATATAATCTTATTTTCTAAATTTTATGCTTTGTTCATATTATTTACTTATGTGCTTTAAATAAAAATAGTATAAATAAAATTAGTGAGGTATATAAATTAGTTTTCGTAATTTAAAATAATATTTTTAATTCGCTTAGTTATTTATTATAAATTGTTATATATTGTTATTTATTTATTTTTCCCAACTTCAACTAAATATATATTTTTTTATTTTTTATTGTACATTTAATTATTTTATCAATCATCCGTGTAGTACAGAAGTATTATTTAATTGGGATAATTTATAAACAAACCCCGTTAATGCCCCGCCCAAATAATCGCAGCCGTCCACACACCTACCCCAAACCAATCTACCGGCTATGTACAACTCGAGATATTTTCCTAAATCTAACGCCTCCTCACTTAATTCCTTGAAACAACCTTTTTTAATCCGGATTCAGTTACATCGTACCAATCACGCCACAAATCGGCCATCTCGGCCGTCCATTACTTAATCGACGGTCGTCATCAACCCTGGAAAGATCAGCCTTCAGTAAAACGACAGCGTTTTAACAAGTGGCTGAACATGGAAATGTGCCGTTTGAGGTTCAAACTTCTGTCCCTAACGGCCATGTTTGGGTCGTCACGTGCCGTTGGAGCAGCAGTCGTGTTCGCCAATCGTCGACCTAACAGCGAACAAACGGCGCCGTCACGAACCCCCTTCGTAAGTATTCGTTGCATACGAAATATATATAAAATTATTTTCTTACTCACTTTCTCTCTCTACTTTCAACGAGTTTTTTCGCAGCTCGAATTTTATCTCTGGTAATTAACAGATTCAGAGATTTTTTTCTTGCGGGCTCAAGGTTTTGATTCAAGCTTGGTCGCAATTTCATGAGGTTTTTCGATTTTTGAGATTCTTGAATTTCAGTTTCGTTAACTTGTGGGCGTTTTTTTTATTGGGTTTACTTTTTGATTGATTGATGGTAATGGGTTGCATCTATTTTGAAGAAGCTCCTATTGATTTGTGTCAATTTTTAATTTTTAATATTCCCTGTTGGTTCAGAGTTTTGTTTTTTGATTTGGGCTTTCTTCTGTTATTGATTATCATTTGCTATGTTGAGATCTGAGGGCTTCTGTTGCTTTGGTAGTAGCGTTGCAATTGTTTTTTCTGCGTTCAATTTTGTAATTTTGTTTGAATGTTTGTGTGCATAGTTCTTAAGATTGTTTGGATTGATTGGCTTGGTGTACTTTGACTAGGGAAGTTGTTGAATTTGGAGGTCAGATGAACTATAGGGACTAATGGCAGAGGTGAAACCTGATGATTTATTGCTTAAGCATATGGAATCTGTGGCTGCCTCAAGCTCGTCGGTTTCAGAAAACAGCAGCAGCGTTGCGGTGAAATCTCCCGGGATAAGCAGTCCATCAAGTACTTCTCCAGCTCATAGGTATTACTTTCTTTAACCTGTTCTGCTGTTTGTGGTTGAGTGTTGGAATGGATTGTATATATATTGGAAACAATTTCGCCGCCTTTTGTTCTTGTTCGCTTTGTGACTATATTGTTCCTGTGTTTAGGGTTTTCTGATTCTTATATTATATGATTTTAGCATTTCATGATTAATATTTCTTGTACGTGTTGTTCCTACAATTCAGCAATTTGTTTTATCATGTTTTTTGCTTATACTATTGCGTGAAACATGGTAAAATATATCAATAGAGTAGTCGGTATTTACCGCTCTGATGTTGCTTCAATGTTGAGAAAGTTCTAAAATTATATTGATGATGTATTACTTAGTGGTACTATTTTCCCGTTGCAGAAGAACTACAGGCCCAATTAGAAGAGCAAAAGGAGGTTGGACACCAGAGGAGGTAATTTTTTTTTTTTTCCCCTTAAAGAGATAATATGTTTGCGGTGCTGGAATTGTGGAACTTATTGTAATATTTAATGATGCATTATGAACACTAGAGATTAATGCTTTTAAGGAAATGAAATTTTCAAGTCTATGTCATAATTGTTCTGTTTCCATTCATTCTTTTCACTGTCATGTAATATTGCCGTTAATGTAAATAAGAGGTGCCAAACTTTTTTTTTTCTTTTGCTTCAGGATGATACATTAAAAAATGCAGTTGCAGCTTTCAAAGGGAAGAGTTGGAAGAAAATAGGTATAATTTACTAACAACCTATGTTCCTCATGCAGCTTCATTTAGATTTGTTATGTTGTAGTAGTTTTATGATCTTTTAGCGTAACTGTGTTGATGTTGCACTGAATGTGAATTGCTGATAAATTGTTGTCAAATATATCTGTTGGAAGCTGTGTTTTCCAACATCATTTAGTTCCAACTGTTATCGTGCATAAATGTGGTTTGAGCACACCCTTCCCTATGGAGATGAGTTCTATCTATATCCATTTTTGATTTATCAACATCAAATAGATTCGACAGTCATTATTTTATATTAGTAATTGCTAGTATATGACTTGAGAAAAAAATTAAAGTAAACGAAAATCTCCAAAGTATCATGGTTCAAGACATTGAAAATAATCAATCGTCTTCTTATAATTGTTAGCTCAAGCATTCACTTCATTTACCTTACTATTTGAGACATGTTTCTATATAATTCGACTTTCTGAACAATGTATGGTGCATGAACTTTTATATGCATGTAGCTGAGTTCTTTCCGGATAGATCAGAAGTGCAGTGCTTGCATCGATGGCAAAAGGTTCTGAATCCAGAACTTGTCAAAGGTCCCTGGACTCAAGAGGTGGGAATCTATATTAGCGATTTTATTAGTTTCTTGAGGTATTTGTGATTCAAAATGTGGACTGGCTTACATTACTTGCAGGAAGATGAGAAAATCAGAGAACTGGTTGCAAAATACGGGCCTACAAAATGGTCTGTCATAGCAAGGTCATTGCCAGGTCGCATTGGGAAACAGTGCCGTGAGAGGTAATCTAACATAAAGTTTCACACAATTGAAAATCTTGGTGATAAGTTTGACTGATTGATTTTCTCTTTCACCATAACTTGAGAGGTAGCATACATGTAACATGTGACAATTGATATCTTTGTAGTAAGCAGTGTGAGTAAGTTCAGTTCGGCACAGGAATTTCTTGTTTTACTTATTACTTCTGGTTTTCTGAAAAATTTAGCATTCACTAGAGTTCTTAGGAATTTTAAAGGGAGATTCTGATATGAGTGACTGAAATATATTAACCCCTTCCGAAAGGGGTACCTTATGACTTATTCTCACTTCGCACCTTGTTCTTCTAGAGAATTTTTATAAATTGGAACATTTGATTCATGCATCTGGTCTAGTACTCTACACTTTACTTGTTCAATTCATGTGCAAAATCTTGTGATATCATGCGCCATAATTTCATTTACAGTGATACAATAGATGAAACCTTTCAACTTGCATTCTCTATCCTTCTTATGTACTGAAACATTTCAGGTGGCACAATCATTTAAATCCCCATATTAAGAAGGATGCTTGGACGTTGGAGGAAGAGCTTACTCTGCTTAACGCTCACCGGGTTAATGGAAATAAATGGGCTGAATTGGCTAAGCTGTTACCTGGAAGGTACAATTCCACATTACAAATTTTCTAATATATCGAAAAAAACAAAAAAAAAAACAAAAAAAAAATAGTGGATTCCAGTACTTGAATCAACCGTCCAATCAGAGAAAGGGCATCAGAACAGATACAGGAAATAAAGTTTTGTTTTGTGACCATCTGTTGGTAAGGAAGGTGCTTCACATGTTTGTCGAGCCATGGTTCGCAAATTAATTGAGTGATCTCTTGAATGTAAAATGGTTTTAGAAGCAAATGAGATTCATTAATGTCAAAATCTTGAAAATATAGATAATCTTGAAAATGGTTATATTTTTATTCACAACTTCCATAGGAACTGAAATTACTGGCTGTTATTATTAAATGCAGGACGGATAATGCAATCAAGAATCACTGGAACAGCTCTCTGAAGAAGAAGCTAGATTTCTATCTTGCCACTGGTAATCTTCCTCCAGTTGCTAAGAATGCCTCCATAGAAGGTGCCAAAGAAATCGATAGGACCACCACTTCAGATGGCGAACTGCGTCTTAATCCAACTAAATCAGATTCAGCCATCTTGGCCTCAACAGAAACTACCGATTCATATAAAATTCAGGATGGTAAGGATAATAATAACCATCCAGAGGCCATGACCAAAGATCACGATATTACCAATCTTGATACCGAACAGCAAGGACCAATACCATTAGAAGCTGAAACAAATCATTCAGATGTGGAATCTGAGTTTGAGAAGTGCAGAATAAATCGAAATGTTGATGAAAACCAAATTATTGGAGCAAATACTCCATTACGTGGCACACTGTACTATGAGCCACCAAATATAGATGATTGCAGTCAGCTGGATTCACATCTTGCGAATATATCATTGATACGTTCGGAATTGGATTTTAGCCTTATTTCTAGTTCTAGGTCACCCATGCTTCTTTTCACTCCACCGAGCTCAAACTGTAGAAGGCCCTGCGCACAAACTCCGGAATCTATATTGAAAATTGCGGCAAAGAGCTTTCCAAATACACCATCCATATTAAGGAAAAGAAAGTCCCAACTGGATCCAAAGGAAAGCGCCGTATCTAATGGTGAGCATAGTAGTGATATTATTAATAGTTGTAAGAGAAGTGGGGAAAAAGATGGTACTACGGAGCTTGCTTGGGATGACGATGACAGGTTAAGCAGCTACAAGTCGTTTAATTCATCACCTCCGTATAGATTGAGTTTCAAGAGGACTTCGGGACTTAAATCAGTCGAGAAGCAGCTCGATTTTGCTATTACCGTAGAGCAAGAGTGTAAGGACCAGAATGCAAAATCTGGAGAGGTAGGGGAAGAGGAGGTTAAGGAGATCCCTCCTGCAACAAAGTTTGTCTACACGCGTCAAAGACGAGGGTAATTTATTGATCTCTGTTATTCTAAGTGTTTTGTTATTGGTAATATACTTGCACACTTTGCTGTTTGCCAACACATGTTGTGAGCAGATTTGTACTGATGATATCCCACATTGTTAGTGATCTCCTACTATCCCAAACAATATGGCAAATAGTTACCATTCTCTGGCCATAATGGCCAAATTGTTAGTGATCTCCTTGCAAAGTAGTTAGTTAAAGAAGAGAGTTCATATTGGCAAGAAAAATGAGAATTTGAAAATTTTAGGAAAAATTTTCCCAAGCTAAGATGGCAAAATAATTTGGGACAGAACCAGAGTACTGGAGTAGTACCTGGGTTTTGAATAACATTGGAAAATATGTATTTAAGTTTTGATCAAATTCTAATTTCATGGTGTTTTTAACATGATTTATTGTCATAACTAGACGTTAGACATGGTTATAGACCTCTGATTCTTTTGTATCATAAGCTCTTGTTTTTCTTGACGCGAAAGTAATGCTTCCTGGCAAACCTCTAATAAATAGTACTATCTCTGCTGGCTGCTTCTCGTACTTTAACATTGTCATCCCAGCCTATTAAACAGCTTTGTTGGTTTCTCGTTTTTTGTAACATTTTGAAGCTTTATCCTTCTTTTTTACTCTTTCATCATTGACTATGAGGTTTTGTACTCATTTGCTTCATTTTATTGGTTTCCATTTGTTTGCCAGGTGACGGAAGGTATACGTAAGGATGATGATGAGAAATCTTCTTGATGTGTTGGCCAAATTTATCAGAAAAAGATAGCATAAGAACATTGAGAGATTCTTTTTGGGAATGAAGTTAAAGGCTAATGAAGGATTTTGGACATTGCTACACTCAGTAATTTATTAGATTTTTTCTCTCTCTCATC